TTATTTTATTTTGCTCACATATTGTTTATTTTGAATTGCACCCCCTCCCTAATGATTGTAAGCCGCCCTGAGTCCCCTCAGGGAAAAGGGCGGCCTATAAATCCTAATAAAACACTAAAATACTAAAAAAAAATCCTTGAAGTAACCATGGCGGCTATAAAGTTCTAAGCTGGCGAGTTCAATATGAATGCTGAATCCTCCCAGGACACAAAATATCTGCCCCCCATCTAAAACCAATTCTGCCTTAGAAAAGAAGAATTATGGGTAATCTTAACAGCTGAATTAGTCACATTAGTCTTTGAGATGTTTGGTCTACATGATGTATTTTTTTTTAGTATTTTAGTGTTTTATTAGGATTTATAGGCCGCCCTTTTCCCTGAGGGGACTCAGGGCGGCTTACAATCATTAGGGAGGGGGTGCAATTCAAAATAAACAATATGTGAGCAAAATAAAATAATAAAGTAATTACTTTCTGATATTTGATAATTTTATAAGACAATATATGTACAGAAAAGATGTCTTTGCATACTTACTCCTGGTGTTTTCTTAAATAGTGTTGGCGTTTCTATATCCACAAAATCTAAAATAAGATTTGATAAATTTTGTCAGCGCCCACAGTAAGTGAAAGGATAAAAAAGGTTAACTGTTAACAATTCTGTTTCTCTAACCATAATGATTACAGAGATACTCTCGCATTCTCATCACCACCTGGGATCTCAGCCGGAGATTATACTGCATCTGAATACTTCTTAAGTCCAAATAACGATACTTCATTCGCAGTGCTTCAGTTTTCTGAGAGGGGGAAAAGAATGTTATTTTATAAAGAAAAACCAGCAATTATACCTCCTATAACTAACACGAAGCATAAAATATTGTTAAAAACGTAAGCAAGTTTGTATGCCAAACCAATTCTTCAGTCATTTCTTCCAATTAATATCTTGTCTATTACTAAATATACTCTTCATGGCTGGAATAATTTTACAGAATAATAGAATAATAACAGAGTCAGAAGGGACCTTGGAGATCTTCTAGTTTAAGCCTTGCTCAAGCCAAAGACTCGATACCATTCTGGGCAAATAGCTATATGATAATTAAATTAATTAAATTGAGGTGTGAATAGACTGAAAATGACAACAGAAGGATAACTAAACATGGGTTAAAATATATGAAACATGGATATATGTAGAACTTTTAAGATGATGAATAAAGTGAGATGTCTACTGCCTGTCATTTTACATAATAGATTGGGGGAATTGTAATGAACATTGAACAGTGAAGTTTGTCATTTATAGACAATTTAAGGGTGATCTAGTCCAAGATATGGAAAAATTGAGAGGGAACATGGAATATATCTACAATGGAAAATTACTGAGATTTAAAGACAGAACCACAAATTGGGGGTGTGTAAGGATGTATAATTATATAAAGATAATGATAAGAATAGCTGGGAACTGTAACCAGCTCTACATCTTGACTAAAATTAGGCTGGGTGGTGGTGGTTAAAAATACAATGACTATATATGTATACTTTTTTGTTCTATTTTTTGTTTAAGAAAGGAGGAGAATATATGTTAAAATTAAATATGTATATNCCCCCCCCCCCCCTTCCTCCCAATTTGACAAAATTACAGTCTGCAGTACAAGAAACATTTGTGGTATCTTAAAAAGAACAGTTGTGATTGACACAAGCTTCTGTAACTCAATACATTAATACCTTGGTACTCAACTGCTTTGAAACTCATTGAGTTTGGTGCTCAGCACATTTTGACATGAAACATTTGTCCTGGTACTCATTATTTGGTACTCAATCCACAAGCTAGAATGCCTTGGTGTCGGCTGTCTTGTGACTCACTCCATTATTTCTTATGGGAAAAATCTGTTTGGTACTCATTGTTCTTTGGTACTTATCATGCCTCCCAGAACCAATTAACAATGAGTACCAAGATACCACTATTATCAAATACGGCAAGTGTGTAAGTACAATAAGAATTATCAAAAATTACTGCTTTAAAACGCAGCAAGTTCTTCATATTTCTCTTTCACACAAATTAAAAGCCAAAATGCATTATAATTTGATAAAATATAGGCATTATTTGTCATTTTAATGTATATTCCAGAATAGGTTTGCTGCAACAGATTTATTATTTGAACAACAAATTTGAGGAAAATAAGATATCATTGCCTCGCTTCACCTTACCTTGTTCTTCTATTACAAGAAGGGTTAAAAGCGTAACGTCTGGAAATAGTTTTGGATTAAGTTGGAACTGAGGTTTGATGTGAACTTTTCTAGCTTGCCGAAGTTAAATTCAACTTTAAATTATCCTTAATTTTTTTAAAAAATCCTTTATATCCTTCAGATCAAGGAATAGATGGGATTAGATGATCCGGCTTCATAATGCTGGATTACTTTTTTATTTATTCTTTGATCTGAAGGATATAAAGGATTTTTAAAAAACTAAGGATAATTTATTATGTAAGTTGAAATTAACTTCGGCAAGCTAGAAAAGGGATTAAAAGTAGGTAATTGCTATTCTGTTCTTTGTTGTACCTCCTAGTGAGACTGTGGCATTTTTGAAGAAAACTGTTAAAAGATGGGGAGAGGTAAATAAATTTGATCCCCAGAAGCTAAAGATGTTGTGGGTAAGAAGGCCTGTAAATTAGGATCCATTTGGATCATTTACCTAATTGTAAACTGGCTATCTTTTTTTCCCTTTTTCCGTTCAATCATGCCTGGTTCTTAGAAACTATCTGGTCAAGTCTGAAGTTTTCTTCACAAATAATGTTAGAAGCGATTTGCCACTACCTCCTAGGCCTAGGACTGAGAAAAAGTGACTGATCCAAAGTCGCCCAACTTGCCAAGGGATTATAACTCATGGTCTCCTAATTTCTAGCATGATGCCTTAACCACTACACCAAACTGGCTCTCTAAAATGATGTAAATTGACATATATTAATTAAAACAAATTCCTCTTCACTACAAGTACTTCATTAAATCAAGGCTGTACCGCATGAAACTTGGAAATATCCCTGAATTGGGACCCAGAGTCTTTTCAGTAGTTACCAATTGACACTCCAGCTTAAGCAATACAGGATTGATTTTATTAAGCATCCATAGGGACAACTGGAAGTTAAGGAAAGAATTCAGCTCAGCTTCCTTCAATCATTGTCCAGCAATAGCTAGAGAAAACCCCAAAGTCCTTATGTATTTTGTAAGAGGCAGCATTTAGAACTGGGACATCAAAGGGCTGAGAAATACACAAATTACACAATATTTGACTCACTCAATATACTGCTCGCAACACCCACACTTGACAAAACAACATTTGTCAAAGTATCAACAAATCCCACAACAGAGATGGTAAGACACCATCAACAAAGATATGCAAGCCGTGGGCCTGTGCCCTGGAGACACAGGTAACCATGAGGCACTCAATGATCTGAAAAGCAGACCCTGCACATGCAGGAATACGCTAGGAAGAAGAAGATAAACAAATCCCAGTTAACAGTTACAGCTACAGTTAACAGGCCTTCAATATAGCAGTGGGAGTGTGGGAGTCAAGCCAATGGGTAATTTTGGTAAATGAACTTGCCTTCATTCCAAAACGAGTATCAGGTTTATCAGTCCCATAAATGGATAGCGCCTCATCATAGGTGATTGATGGAAAGGGTATTTTGACAAGGCCCTTTTCCTTAGGCCAGGAATACTGCAGCATGCCCTCGATTAAAGCCAGAATTCCATCTTGGTCCACAAATGACATTTCAATATCTATCTTTAGGGGGGAAATAAACAAAAGATTTTTTAAAAAAAAAAAATAATAATAAGGCATATAAATATCACCATTATTCTATTTAACATTTTTTCAAAACATATATTTTTTTGAAAATGCATTTTGCTAGAAGGACTACAATTCTAGAGAACAGTCTTTCCTTCAGAATCTAGGGCAGGGATGGCGAACCTTTTCAGCACCGAGTGCCAAAAACATCACGCGGGAATGTCACGGGCACGCTCATCGGGGCCGCACTCTGGAAAAGTCAAACTTCTGGGTTTTAGCATGTATACGCACCTGACAATCAGCTGGCCGGTACAAGAGCAGGCCAGTTTTTGTCACTGCCACACGCGCGGAGGTATCGCACTCAGGAAAAGCCAAAATTCTGAGTTCTGGCACGCATGCGCATCCCACAATCACCTGGTCAGTGCGCATGCACACACCAATTTTCAGCACTGCCATGCACTGAAGAACAGTTGAGCATCGTGCATGCCAGAAACCCGAAAGACAAACAGGCATGACCGCGCATGTCGGGCGACATGGCTTCGTGTGCCACTTTGGGGACGTGTGTCATAGCTTCGCCATCACAGGTCTAGGCTTACAGCAGCCATTTCAGTGAAATACTTGTACATGCTCAGATTTTGGAGCTGTATGTTAGTTTCAAGGTTTTTAGGCTGATTTCTTTGCTCATTCATTCTCTCTGCTCTATCCCTTCTATACAATGTTTTGGGAATTATGTATGCTAACCTACTGCAGGAAAAAAAAACTTGTTACCTTAGATGCTAGCATATTTATTACAGAAGATATACTGCAGATGATGTTATTAGATGAAGCGAATTCTACTGCACACAAACTAGTCCTAGCAATTTTGCAAATGTAGATTAGTTTTAAAACACACAAAGTATCTTTGAGCAACTCTTTGCCATATACTCACATCAGCCCCATTAATAAATTAATTACTAATAACCATATAAATTTGTAAAATTTTATTTTGAATGCTCTTGGTGGAGATTTTGATGCACTAAACTTTTTAATTGTTAGTAATTTACTAATACACACATAAAGAAAGATTTCATTGTACACAGGTCACAAAGGCACGATATAAAAATCTAATAAACAAACACAGTACATGCGATTTTGGCGAATTTGGGATTCCATTTGAAATGGTTAGCAGTACTAGATCATAGAAATGAAGTAATGTGTTAACACTGTAATACCAAAACAGAAGTATCTCTCAACAGTGGAATAATTGTCACTTCTCCATTTTCCATTACTACTCAATATTATTTGCTCTGTATATAGAATGATAAAGCTGAATCACAGAACAGTATTTTGGTCAGTGCCGCAACAATGAGATGACAAGTATTCAGTTCCAAGTTACTTTTCATTGTTATTACATGCTCATATTTTCCTCTTCCAAAGCCACTAAACTCCCAACTTCTAAATGGACGGTAATCCTTATAGTTACAGGTAAAAACAATGCGTATTTTAATACTTTTTAATCTTATTCCAAACAAAAATAAATTACCTGACTGAATTCCGGCTGTCTGTCTGGCTTTGAGCCTTCATCTCGGTAGCAGCGGGCAACTTGGAAATACCTGCCAGTAGAAAATTACATTCTGGTTGCAGAGTATCTTTCTCAAGTAGCACGGTCTCTCAAAACAGTGGGTTTGGAAAGAATATACACCTGAAAAAATTGCTATAATCTGAATTTAAAACAGAATAAACATTTGTTCCATATTTAGAAATTGGTTAATCTATACCTCTAGGCCCTGTGTGGGGAACTGCAAAGAAAAAGAAGTGGTTTATATGCTTGACATACTGAGACCTTCTGCACACTTTTGAGTTGGACATGAGTGGACAAGACATTCTCTGCACTGTCAGGAAAGGGATAGTCAAAAGGTACTTTATTCCCGTGGCACGACAAAAGCGTGAACGTCAAAAGCGTGCCGACAAAACCGTGGCGCTAAAACCGCAATGTCAAAAGCGCGCCGACAACAGCGCGCCGACAGAAGCGCAATTTAA